AGAACTTTGCTTCAGGATGAGAACAGAAATCGTGCTCCGGTGGCGCGGTTGCAGCGGGAGGCCCCATAAGCTAAAGTGGTACCTCAGGTTAAGAACAGTTTCAGGTTAAGAACGGACCTCCGGAACGAATTAAGTTCTTAACCCGAGGTACCACTGTATATTTGAATGTGAATTGTAATTTGAGACTGACACAATGTGGCTTTTATTGGATATTAGTAATTGAAAATTAATTTAAAAAAAATTATAAAAATAACTTGGGGTCTTCTCCATGCAAAGCTGATGTTCTACCACTGAACTGTAGGACCCATATTGACCAGAAAGGGTTATTGACTTCCAATTATTTAGTAGGGATGGGTGTGTGTGTGTACACATATATATATTTCCCCTCAAATATGCATTTTCCCACACATTTTCACCTACAATATGCATTTTCACATGCCTTCTTGTGCTTAATTTTTCGCACAGGGACTACGTCACAAAATTCAGAGAAGTATGAAAATCTAAAGGATAACTGCGTTCTTCTGTGCATATTAGTCCAGGAAGTGTGAATCTGGCTGGGTCACTTTAAAAATGCAGACTGAGTTAAAACCTGGAACGTACTTAGTAGAACTCTGTGAACATCTGCTGCAGGTGTCCAGGCCCCGGCAGCTTTGTCTAATAGCTGCCCAAGATCACCTCCCAACCCTTTCTAACCACCAACTGAACGCATTGACAGATGTTTCAGTGTTTCTGTGAATGGACCAGGGGCTGGCCAACGGCTTTCAGTTCATTTGCACAGTGGATGCAAAGTCAGACCCTAGGAACCCTCCGGTACCAGAAACATGTGCTCTGCTATTTTCAGAAAATGCCAGTTGAGTACAAGCCACGGGCCGCTGCTGAAGCATTACCGATCTCCTCCTCTGGAAGGAAGTGCTTATCAGATGTATTGCTCCTGACCAGTGGGTGCTGTATGCTTATGTAGACTTGTGCATGTTGAGGATATGTACCTTTCCTGGAGCCTTTCGAGTTTTGGGATTGTTGTTTTTTTAGATTTTTGGACCTTCTGGATGGGCAGAAAATGGAGTTAATTTGGCCACACATTGAAATCCAGTTTGATCAACGGGTTGTCTTGTGAGTATTTAAAGGGTGGCGTTAAAGGCCACAGGATATCCACAGAGATTTCTCAAACCATGCTTTGCAGTTAAGCCACATGCGATGTTGTGGAAATATGAGCAGATATGGCAAGTGGAAGCTGGGGAAAAAATGTTGCAGTTTGGAGTACTTCTGTTCAAGGGTTCAAGGTACACCATTCACCTCTTACCCAGTTTCCAAAGTGTAGGGGAACTGATTTTCCATTTTCCAGTATTTATTGGCTACTGAGCGCTACAATTTCACTGGGCTATTTTGGAAGTTATTTGGTCTTTTGGTCCTTTTTCACCTCGTTTCATTTATTCATTTTTACCTCGAAAAACCTTGGAGTTCTCCTAAGCTTCTCCGTTGTGGATGGAGCCATTCTGGCTATAAAAGGGAAATCGCTCAAAGAATTAAGGTTCCTGTGATGATATTAACCGGATTACACAGAAGTAATGCTCTGTTCTGGAAACAGCAATCTTCAACCTCATAAGAGGTTTGCATTTCATCGGCAGCTCAGCATTTCGGAATCTTTCTGCAATTGCCTGCTATGTCTTGCACATGCAAGAATGGATTTCATGGAGAAATTGGTGATTTCTACAGATTCCTCTCGTTCTTCCTTTATTGCGGGATGCTACAACCACATCAGTTCTCGTTTGGAAGTGAACTCTTCAGAATTATCGGCAGGGAGTGGGGAGAAAAGATTTTTTCCTGAAAGCACCCTAAATCTCCTGACTTAAATCTCAGAGGCAGAGGAGGTACACACTGGACTGTGATTCAGGTAAGCATGACTGTAGAGTCCTCGCATGCTTATAGCTTCTCCTGATTTTTGTCCCACAGGTGAGGGAAAAACCTACACAATTAGTAAACGATTATTGCTTAAATCCTTGAGGAAGGGCAGTAGCTCAGTGAAAAAGCATTTGCCTTGCATGCAGAAAGTCCCAGGTTCTGTATATATAAATTTCATTAAATTTTCTGTTTTATTACATCCTTAAGTAATCAATGACTTCCCTTCTTCTCTTTCCATGGTTCGTTTTACATATCTTAAATCCCTGCATGTTTTACAGAAACTATACCATTCAGTATTCCATTATTACATCCATCATAACTTATTTACCCTGCTGATTTTATCTTAATGCTGCCATTTTCAAGTGTACACAGTTTCACCCCATATATTCAATAAACATTTCCCAATCTTCTCTAAACATATGTTCTCCTTGTTCTCTTATTCCATATGTTAAGTCTGTGAGCTGCGCATATTCTGTCAACTTAAGTTGCCATTCTTCTTTGGTTGGGACCTCGCTCGTTTTCCATTTTGGGGCTAACAAAACACCGTAGTAGCATACATAAATAACCGTTTCTGACACCTGGGAATTTCAGTCAGAACAGATTCAGATTCAGTCCCCAGCATCTCTACATGGGAAATGTCTAGCATCTCTAGACGGACCGTGGTCTGACTCAGAATTAGTAATCTTGCTGTGTTCCTAATGACAAGTCAACAGTTTTTAAGGAATTGAAGGAGATGCGAGAGCATCTCTCTTCTATGGAATCTGATGGCACAGATTTGTACTTTGGAATGCGTTCCTTGTGTTTGGTGAAGTTGGGTTATTTTGGGGGGTAAACTTCAAACCAGATATAACAACACATCTGTATTGCACTGTTGCAGGTCACATATAAATTCAGACCAGATGGGAGAGATGGTGCTGTCTACAGAATGGGTGCATGTGTTGTGTAGAATTCTCCAGGGACCCAGGAATCACTTGAGAAGGGGTTCACGGCTTTATTAAAACAACTTTAGTAGAAATTAGTCTATAGAGGGGAAGTCTACACTAATCTGTCATGGATGCCTATAGGAATCCAGCTTGTAGAAAAAGACAGATTAAAATTCATAATTTACTTAGGAGACCATTGTAAACAAATAAAAACATTAGCTGGACTTTAAAAACAACTTGTAAAGAAACGAAAGATGGATAATCTAAAGAGATGAAAACTGTGGAGAATGTAACGATATGCAGTTTTAGAAAAACTATTTTATGGACCCGTGTAGGGGGTGGGGGGAAGTCACAAGATTCAGAGAATGTCATGTATGGATATTTTAAAAGTTTTTTCTTTTCATTATTTTAAATTTGTGCTTGTAAAAACCAACAAAAAATATTTCAAAAGAAAAAGACGAATTAATAGGTCTCTATGAAAATGAGAGGCAGAAGTGTTCTAGATTCTGGATGGTGTAGGGTAGACTTCTGAATATGACAGAATATATTGCCCTCAAAATAAATGTACAGTCTTCAGTTAACTCTCTGCATACACAGACACACACACACCTGTGAGCACTGTAGTACGCTGAGCCTTTGAAATCAATCTGGGCAGAAAGGGGAAGAATCTCAGTGGTAGAATGAAATAGAGAAGAACTGATTATTTTAAGTGGGTAATTTTGCTTGCACTGTGTCATGGGCTCAGTTTTGACAAAGGCCCAATTAGATATATTTTTTAATCACCAAAAAATGTGGGCGAAGGAAGTGAATTAATATTTTACTGGCGGTGAGTACAGTGGTACCTCGGGTCAGACGCTTCAGGTTACATACGCTTCAGGTTACAGACTCCGCTAACCCAGAAATAGTACCTCAGGTTAAGAACTTTGCCTCAGGACTGCGCTTCAGGCGGCGCAGCAGCAGGAGGAGGCCCCATTAGCTAAAGTGGTGCTTCAGGTTAAGAACAGTTTCAGGTTAAGAACGGACCTCCGGAACGAAATTAAATACTTAACCCGAGGTACCACTGTATCCAGTTTGCAAGCCAAGATTGAATTCCACAGAGATGAAGGGTTGTGGCCAGTGCTAGTCCTACTCAGAGTTTACCTGTTGTAATTCATGGACATGACTAACGTAGAGCCATGGGTGCATAAGCAGAGACTGGTAAAAAGGTAAAAGTAAAAAGACCAAACTGCCAGAGATAGAACACCCATCCACATTACGAACTGGATGGAGGGAAGTGAATTGATGGTCAAAGTATGCTGGGGGCGATGGTACACATCTCCCTAAGCATCCACTCAGTGCAAATGTGCGCCTTTATGTCCACAAGTAAGTTGCCTTAGACATATGTAGAGCTATCCAGTCCTGATGGATCTGCACAGGAGGGGAATCTCAGGGTCTGCCCTCTTGTAACTTGCAGCTACACTTGGATCCTTTGCAAGGAGGTTATGGAGGAAGACATTAATTCCTCATGCTCATGTGAACTATCTCATTTGCTGTTCCCAGAACAATATGGGAAGACAATCAACCCTTCTCTGAATTTTGCAATGCAGCACGGAAACCAACAATGTGCAGGAAAAAATTGTGTTTGCTAAGGCGAACTATGCATAAAAGTGCATGTGCGAATGAAAATAGCACACGGAAAAGCACTGTTTTGAGGGAGACTGCTTGCAAAAAGAATGTGTATACTGAGAGAAATCACCACTACAATGCTGGTGGATTTTCTTGAGGACTTCCTTTAAAAATAAAAATACCAAAATGTGGCAAACTGAGTTTTTGATTAGAATAATGAAAAACTGGGAGAAACTGAAATTGACAGATTCATCCATCGCTATTTGCACGACAGTTTGCATGGGACAGCTGTTCACACCCTTTTCAGCAGGGCTCCCGACCACATTGCAGAATATATATTTTTTCCAGATCTAGGGCTCAGCGCTCTCTCTTTTTCCAATGAATTATTCTGCATCAGAATCCATCCAACATTTTTGCACTGAAAACTCACCTATGCCCCATCTTTCAAAGCCCTTTGCTGCATGCCGTTTGCATCAAATTCGTCACTGACCAGGTACGCTATCCAGAAAAGAGGAAGCAAAGTTTTTTTCTGGTGACAAAAAAACATTTTTGTAAGGCCGTTAGTCACTGTGTGTATGTCTTCGGCGGTGGAACCCAATTGAATGTCCTAGGTAAGTCGCTTTAAAATGCCTAAACAATTGTTTTCTGATCGGCTTTGTATTTAATTTCTGTCATTTTTCATTCCAAACTTTGTCTCTGGGTTAGGCAGGTCATCTCTTGCCCAAATCAGCTTAGGAGAGGGTCAGGATTTGTCCTCTCTTGGGTCAACTAGATCAGATGAATTTGTAGAATGTTTCTCTGCTTTTATGTGCCGATTAAAGTTGCAATCTAAGGTAACACTTAACTGGGAGTAAGTCCAGTTGACAAAGTGAGACTTCTGAATAAGTAAATGCTTTGCTGTCATGAAACCATCGCTATCTGCCATTTTTAATAACATTACAACTTTCGATGAGAGTTTTTGGGTCGTCAATTAGTAGGTTCAACTTTTCCCATTGTGGGAAAAGAATACACAGGTAAGGTTACGGCAAAGTTAAAAAGCAAATTTTCTCATTTGTCACACTGTTTTGTTTTGTTTTAAAAATATCAGGAAGACCATGGTGACAAAGCAAAATTGCCTTTTCAGTTTAAGACTGCTCTACCTTTTTTAGAATAATATCCATAGCAACAAGTAATATTTAAAACTAATTCAAAATGGGGTTGTAGTAGAAATGATATCATTTCCCCCCTTTGTAGTCATTGCTGAATTTTAAAAATATTAGGTGTCATAGATTGAAATAATAGGATAAGTAATAATGCAATTACTTACCTGGGAATAATAGTGGTTGAACTTGGTGAGTTTACATCTGAATCAGTTTGCCCTGGACATTAAATCTTTTCATGGTGCAGGGGTAGAAAGATGATTTGCAGGTACGTCTTCATGCAGAAACAGGTTTTACAAAAAGCATGATGCATTTGGTTGAATTGAAAAAGTTAGGTAAAATATTATTTTGTAAGTTGCTAGAATTTTCCACTCTGCTTGCCAATGTATTCATCTCTATTCTGAATGCAAGAAGCTAACTTTGAACCCAATTCCCTCAGAAACAAGTCTAACAAAAAGAAAGCAGAATATACTCTGTATCCTAAATACATGTTCTTGAAAATATGTCCCAGTGAAGTCAATGGATCTCTTTTCCAAAGTAACAGAGTTGGAGTTTGTGTTGGGTCCATGGCTTGCCACTTCCGAAAAGATTTTAGACAGCTGCGTTGGTCCATTAGGACAGGAAAAAAAAACACCAAACCATTTGTAGTATAATAACTTTATTGGGGACTAACTAAAAAGTCACAATAGCTGGCCAACCGTTCAGGTTCATCAACCTTCCTCTGTCAAGCTGGAGGGTGTTTAGCAAAAAGAGAGTGGAAAAGAATTAAAAATGGGTGGTGCGGAAAAGAAAAGGATATTGCAAAAACCTCACTTGGTGACAGTCAGCTAAGTTTTACTTAGCATAGACCCACAGAAACTAATAGACCTATTTAATTTCAATGCATCTGCCCTGAGTAAGTATCTTCAACTAAAGATATTCAACTTTAGTTGCATATCATCCAGTGGGTAGTATCCAACTAAGTTCTACTAAAGAGTAGACTCACTGAAATTAATGGACTTAAGTTACCCATGGGCACTAATTTTGATGGGTCTATGACTAACATAAGCTATAATCCTGACTTCTTAAGGCAAGTAGGATCTGTAACAAAACGTTGCACTCTGGTGTTTCCTGATTACTGAAAGCTAGCCAGCAATGCCTTGTTCAGGATACTCCATTCCCTCCCTCTCTTGACAGTTTTCTGTTTGTTTTCCCCTCTCAGAGAGTCAGTCTGCGGTCCATGAATGCACAGCATGCTCACTCTTCATTGAGCTGTTTGGGTTGTTGTCTCCAAGATTTTTCAATACTTTAGCAAAACATGGCAAAGTTCAGGGTTCCTCTAATTCTGTTGATACTTCCCTTTTCCGCAAGGACCAGTGCAATTTAGGCTATGTAAGAACCCATTCATGGGAAATGCTATTAGTACATAATATTTAGTGCAATGGATGGCAGACTACGGCTTTTCATCTTGGCCGCTTTTCTCTTCCCGCTCCCAACCTCATTTTTTGTTCTAGATTCCCCCCCCCCCTTGCTAACCATCCCGCCTGGAGAAGCATTTTGATGAACTCAAGGCTTGGACATTTGATTGAACTCAAGGCTCCTTCTGCAGTAAGGGGGGTGCTTCTGGTGCCCACCGAGTCTCCTTGTTCACAGGCTTCAGCGCCTGTGATTTTAGGGGTCCCCCGCTTGCCGTAGTGGGTCAGACCCGAACTCGCAGAGCAGTCCTCCTCCGAAGCTCGGAAAGAGGACCGCCATTAACGCTGGCGCCGACCGGAAATCGCCGAAAACCACCATTTTATAGTTCAAATTGGGAAAAATAAATACAGTAAATGGACAAAAGTTCAAAAATTCACAAAATATTTAGGGGTATGCCTACCCCTGCATCCCCCCCCGAAAAAAGCATTGATTATGATTTATTATACTATTTATTTATTTATTTATTTATTTATTCATACCACACCTTTTTTTCCTGATAGGATTCAGGGTGGCTTGATTAATAATAATAATAATAATAATAATAATAATAATAGCAACAACAACAAGAAGAACAATAATATTAAAAAGAAAGTGTGATAGACAAAGGCTTTAATTCAAGATCGCAGAATCTGTGGGCTTCTCAGTGTTATTGGACTCCAACTAATGGGAGCTGGAGTCTAAGAACATCTAGCAAACGCAGAGGCAGTAAAGCATTCCACTTCTTTTCAGGTGCCCACAACTATTTATCTGACTTAACCATCGCACTTGCTTCCTCCCACCCCCATTCCACCTTGGTCACTAGGCTCAACACTATAAACGCTCTAAGCAAAAATGGATCAGAGGTGTGGACAAGGTTTTGTCTCTCTGTGAGTGGCATCTACCTCTGGGAAGATCAGAAACCTTAGGTGTCATCTCTGCTGTACATTTAAAAAGCCAGGCATTCTGGGAATATATAATAAATAATGTCAATTAAACTGGGGAAAACGTTTTCTAGAAGTTGGCAGGGGGAATAAAATGTTTGGGACTAGAAGGCAGGCTACCAAAATGAAAAGGTGTGGCTTCCAGAAAGCCACCAGATCCTTTCAAAAATTCCAGCACACAGAAATGCAGACTAGAATCATAAGGAATCATAAGGGGTCTTGAAGGCCACCTAGTTGAGCTTACAGCAAAATATCCTCTTTCTAAAAATAGATGGGTCCAGAAGCCACCATTTAAATTTGCTTACAGTGACTCAGAGTAATGCTACATCAGGAGCATTATGGGAAATTTAAATAGCAGCTCCCAGTTTCTGACACCCCCACCACATGGAGCACAATAAATCCGGAAACATCTATATGATATATTTAATAGTAGGGCATTCTGAGAAGATATAATCCATAATGGCAGTTAAATTGAGGAGAAGGCTTCACAAGCAACAGTATTACAAAGGGTCTTGAGGCTGGGGGAGAAGAAAAGCTTTTGGAGGAGATTGACATCAACAAGTCATACCTTCCAGACAGTCAAATGTCCTTACAAAACATTTCAGGACACAACTTTGGGGAATAGAGTCAGATTAGTGCTTCCTTTATGAAATCAAGTAAATCATTATATGTGCCAAATATTTAATATTCCCCTGAGACACAACACTTAACCAGCTTTCCCCTTGACTTCCAGGTCAGCCAACAGTACCTCCAACAGTGAACGTCTTCCCACCATCCCCAGAAGAACTGAAGAGCTCAGACAAAGCCACCCTGGTGTGTCTCATGGATGGCTTTTACCCAGGCACTGTCCAAGTTACCTGGCAGGCTGATGGCACCCCCATCTCCTCTGGAGTGGAGACAACCACGCCCACCAAGCTGAATGACAAGTACGCGGCCAGCAGCTACCTCAGCATGAAAAAGTCCGACTGGGAGAGCTATGAGGCAGTCATCTGCAAAGTGACGCATGAAGGGAAGACCGTTGAGAAGGTGGTGAGGAGATTGGACTGTGCCTAAAGGCTGGATGGGTCTGATGAGTTCCTCGTGCCTCCAGCAGCTGAGAAGAAAGAGTCCTTTCATGTTCAAGGGGGCCAAGTTTATTCTCTGATTTCCTCTAATGCTACGTTGATCCATCAAGTCTGGTTTCCTCCCTTATGTCGTACCATTCCCCACACCCCCCTTCCTCTTCTCCCTGGAATCTCCTTTGTATGTTGGCTTATAATGTTTGCAAATTAATAAAATGTCATACATTTCACCGGTGTGATTTCTTGACCCACTCATTTATTCCATCTCCTTCAAGCAGGTTGTTTTCATGGTTTCCTGTCCTATTACAGAAGGAAGTGTGTTGTTACTCAGCCAAAATGCAGTGGTAAAAGCAGTGCGATTTCATGGGAATGTAGGAAGCGGCCTTCTCCCAAGTCAGACCAGCGGTCCATGTAGGTGGGCATTTTCTACACTGGTGGGCTGTGGCTTTCCTGGAGATCAGGCAGGGTTCTCTCTTAGTCCTACCTACCAATTTAGGTCCTGAGAAATGGAAAAGGTCAATTTCAGTTCAGGATGCATCCCAGATTCATTTCTGGTGGGTATTTCAAACATTCCCAAACATCACGTACAATCCGACATGTTCTTCCTTCCACTCAGTGGATCACTCATTGCATTCAGGATGTTTAATGAAGAGGTACTAGGCTCCCGATCCTACATGGAGATGTCTGGGATTGAAACAAGGACACCCTGATGCAATACAGATGGACTACCATTGGGCTGTAGCCCTTTCCACCTGGCAATGCTGCATGTAAACAAATTCCAGTGCTGCAGGAGCAGTGCTACTTAAGGGCTCTAGAGTATGATTAGATGCGATGAATTGACTCAAGTTGCTATTCACTTTAATGAACTAGCTGAACATGCCTCCATATAAATCCTTTGCCCAACGAAAATTCACTACTCCTCTCTTCCCATTCAGCTGCAGAGAAATAGAAGGGGGGATTTAGGATTCATTTCAGGTGGTATTTCAAACATTCCCAAATATTACCTCTGGTCTGCCATGTGTGCTCCATGCCCCTTGTGGAGAGTGGTTCATTAGCGCTTAATGCAGCGCTGCTCCCAAGCAACCTCCATGTATCCTCAGGCAGAACCACCCGTCCTTTCTCCCTTCCCACAAGCAGTCTGCCAATAGCTTTGCCCGTTGCTGAGCCTCCCTACTTTTGGTCTCCCTGCCCCACCAGTTCCGATGGGCACCGGCTGCAGCGAACGGCACTAACTATAAGGAGACATGAGAATGTGTAGCTTCGTCTAAACCCATTCCCTCCCATTTTAGGACTATAGCTCCCATCATATCTGAATGTTGGCCTTGCTAGCTTGGGCTGATGGGAGTTGTAGTCCAAGTCATGTGGAGGCCACCACATTGGGCAAAACTTCACTATTACAACTCCTCCCTGAAAGATCTCCTGGCACTCAGGGTACACGAGGCTCCAGCGAATTAAAACCATGGGTTTGTTGAGAGAATAAGAGAAAACAACAGAAAATGAACATTCTATATTCATTGGGAAGACTCTGTAGCTTGTGACTAACTGGTTTCCCCTGAGATGGTTTTGGACATTCCCTGGTCTTTGACCATGCTGGCTGGAGGTGATGAAATATGGAGTCCAACAGTATATGGAGGGCCTATAGGTCCAACACCCTGATCTAAAATGACAAATATGGGGCTTGAATTTGTTCAGCTACTCTATTAAATGCTTCTATCCAAATTGGAATGCCATACAAAAACTGAGAAAGGACGTTGGCATTAAAATATATTTATTGCAGCAGGGACCATCTGGTTGCCTCTGAGGAAGAAAAAATGAAGAATCACAGATGTGGTGCATTTTACTTGGATGGCCATTCAACGCCTGTGTTTTTGTCCAGTTTAAATTTGGCTAGTAGAATATCCCTAGGTGTTCAAAAGATTTTACCTGGTCAATGGGGTGATTATCTAGTCCCCATTTAACAATTTGACAACTTTGAGAAATTATCATGATTTTAGATTTTTCATAATTAATTCCCAAGGAGTTGATCTGGCAGAAGAAAGGAAAAAACGAGTTCAGAAGTCTTCTAAGGCAGACCTGGGTATGAGAAAGAATTGTAATATCATCTGCGTATAAAAGCAATCTTATTTTATGTTGGCCTAATGCTGGTGGATGTCCATTTACATCCTCAAAGTGATGAGCCAAATCATTTAAGAATAGGTTGAATAAGTGGGGTGCATATGGGGGGCCTACAGGTCAGATCCCCTGATCTAAAATGACAAATGTGGGGCTGGATATTAGTAAAGTCCCAGTTTCTTCCTCCAGATTGTGGTCACCCTACATATACCATGAGTCAGTCCCATCCAATTTTCTACACAGTACTATCACGAGCTGGTCAGGAAATGAAACACCATAGCCCATCTTCTTCCCAGCCTATTTTAACTTGTGTGAGAGGCTATTTGGAAAGAGAGAGAGCTGTCAAAGGTCTAAAAAGATGTCTATGGCTGCTTCAGAGGAGGATGAGTCTCAAAGCACTGTCTTCTCTTAACCATTTGGTATTCCATAAGTAACCTGCTTATTGACTCATGTAAATTCTCACCACCACTTTGGGTCCATCTCACCCCTTAATTTCAGAATGTCAGATGACTCCTGACCAGAGTTGTAAAGACCTGGAAGTGAAAAATTGGGGGGGAAACTAGAAATATATTTACTGTTTTTTCTACTTTAATTTTTTTTGAAAAGAACACTATAAAAATTGGAGGGAAACCTTTTTTTCATGGGTTTTTCCATAGCTCCACATCTATAGTGTTCTCCTGATGGATCAAACTGAATGCCCACCTAGTCTAGTCTCCTGTTTCCCACATTGGACAAGCAGATATGCTTCAGAGACAGCAGGGTAACAGTGGCAAATTCTGCTTTCGTTGTTGGCAGACTTACACCTAAATTCAACTCATAGGAAACCAATATTGCCTCCCTATGAGGAATCATCCACATTTTACAGGATGGTTCCTACAGAATCAACCATTCATTCTAGAATTTGTTCTTGGGGGAAGGTCTTGCCATGCAACTTCAGATCAGAATTGATCTGAATTGGGTTGATGTCGATGTCAAAATCAATCCTCATTCCATCAGTTCTGTTCTGCATATTACCAGGGCTGGCACAGTCAGATAAATGCTGGGGGCCTGCACTGCTGGTGATAGCATCTTACACTCTCCAGAACAACATATGATCAGTGCCATATTTTACAGATTAATCCTCCTTCCCCAGGCACCAGCTGTTAGTTAGCTCTGAACATCAAGAGGCAAGGCTCAGACCAGAACCTAAATGGGAAAACACCAGTGAACCTTGTAAGATGCTACTTGGACTAATGCCAATCTTCCTACCCTGATGGACATTGCCACAAAAACTTCCTGAAAACTAGAAAGGAGTCTCTCCTTGTTGGTCAGGTGTTTTTGACTGTGCTCAGAACATCTCCCCTATGAAGGTGGGACCATCACAATGAATGGAGCATTGTCTCACCAACTCTAGCCTTTTCTTAGCCAGCCCCCACCTGCCTGCCAGTTTAAAATGTGGCCTTGGCTGTCCCCCTTAGTCTCATTATTTTCCTTGTAGGACTTGCAGGGGGGTGGGTGAGGTAACCAGAACCGGTTGTCTCTTCCTCTGTCTGCTGTTGGCTCCAACTCCACCTGCTGATGGTGTCCCTGCCTTCTGCCTGATCAGCCCCAAGGGAACGCCACAAAGGGCACATTTGGGCCTTCTTAAACCATGAGCCAGAATTCTCTTGGCCAAAGCTGACTTCATTTCAAGTCGCAGTTTCTCTGGGGATTCCCTTCATCATATCACGAGGGATTAGACTAGATGATGCTTCCAACTCTACAGTTGAGAACCCACTTGCAGGGACCAGGGAGCAAAGGCCCAGTGCATCTATGTTGCATCAACCTAGGTTTCTGCCTGTGATGGACTGCAAACCCATATATTTGTTGTTGTTTAGTCATTTAGTCGTGTCCGACTCTTCGTGACCCCATGGACCAGAGCACACCAGGCACTCCTGTCTTCCACTGCCTCCCGCTGTTTGGTCAAACTCATGCTGGTAGCTTCGAGAACACTGTCCAACCATCTCATCCTCTGTCATCCCCTTCTCCTTGTGCCCTCCATCTTTCCCACCATCAGGGCCTTTTCCAGGGAGTCTTCTCTTCTCATGAGGTGGCCAAAGTATTGGAGTCTCAGCTTCAGGATCTGTCCTTCCAGTGAGCACTCAGGGCTGATTTCCTTAAGAATGGAGAGGTTTGATCTTCTTGCAGTCCATAGGACTCCCAAGAGTCTCCTCCAGCACCATAATTCAAAAGCATCAATTCTTCGGCCATCAGCCTTCTTTATGATCCAGCTCTCATTTCCATACATCACTACTGGGAAAACCATAGCTTTAACTATACGGACCTTTGTTGGCAAGGTGATGTCTCTGCTTTTTAAGATGCTGTCTAGGTTTGTCATTACTTTTCTCCCAAGAAGCAGGCGTCTTTGCTGTCAAAATGCACACCTACAATGCTTTAGACAGGCCCTTTTGCAGTATTATTTATTCATTTATTTACTTGCTTGTTTGTTGTTTGTTTTTATCGGATTTGTACTCTGGCCTTCCTCCCAAAGAAGCACAGAATGGCAATGGCCATCAGGCCATGTACACCAGCTGTTTACTAGGTCTCAGTGCCAGCAAACGTGGTCCAGGCTAAGGAAGAGAACTACGGTACTTGAGCATGGTTTCAACTTTGGAAAAGCAGCATACAAATAAATTGAGGATGAGAACACGGACTGCTGAACCCCATGGATGCTGCCCCATGTATTTGGATCTCTCTATCCTGGAAGCAGTGGCCACTCAAAAGAGTGGGATAAATCAGAAAGCAATGGGTTTGTGATAGCCGTCTTCTGAGAAGTCTGCTCAAAAGTCTACTCCTATTGGGCCTCGGACGTGAGATCTCCAGGCTAAATAACATATAAAGACTGATGGATATTGGTTGGGGACTGGAACCGGGAAAAGGGTGGGTGGAGTTTGGGAATCCAAAGGGTATACAAATATAATCGGCTTTGTTTTTATATTTTTGCTAGTTGTATGGAAATTGGGAAAACCGTGGAAGGGAAATTTTGGTCGACTTCAGGAAAAAGGTTTAAGAATAATGAATGAGGTATAAATATTGATGTAAATTTGGATAAGTTAAAATTGGTTTTTTAAATTAAATAGAAATAAGGTTTGTAAAAGTAAATGGAAGAAATGGAAGAAAGAAGAAAAGTATAATAACAGCATGTTAGAACAAATTATTAAGTTAAAGTGGAGAAATAAGTTAAGGACTTGCTGAACGGACAATCTAAATTGGAATACAAGAAGGGGAGGTGTGAGGAGGTCTGAGAAATAAGGTTAAAGAAGATAAGTAATTGAAACTTTATGTGTTTTTAATTGTTGTTAAGTTTTGAATTTTTTGTTTCTTGCGTGGTTTTTATTTTGTTTATTTTTGTTTTTGATTTTTATATGTATGCTGAAAATACCAATAAATTTTCATTAAAAACAAAAAAGTCTACTCCTATTGGTTTCTATCTATGAAATCCATGGGGCTGACTACAAAATCCATGGTGCAGTGCCGTTCTGATCAAAACGCACTTGCATAAAACATCGTTATTGTTATTTATTAGATTTATATACCACTCTTTATCACAAGAACCACAGAATGAATGAATGAATAAATAAATAAATAAATAATGATAGCAGGCCAAAAAATGGACAGTGTGCAAGTGAGAGAAGTCAGAACCCACAGATCATCAATCCATCAATCCTTATTGTTGTCAAAGACCAGACAGAGACCCATAGAAGCCATGGAGTTTTCTTCTATCTGCAAATTTGAAGTGCAGGATTGTGCATTAGTGGAAGCATATATATTTCACCCTGAATAAATGAAGTTCAGCAGCAGCTTTCAGAACTCAATGTACAAGTTCATTTTTTTGAATCTGTGATAAGTGTTTTCTCTGAGACATACTAGAAGCTAATTAAGGAAGTTCATACTTGAACTCCAAAGAACGGTCCAGTGCACTGAGTTTAATTTATAAAAAAACTATTGTGGCACAAAGAAAGCTTCACTGCCTCCAGACTGATTCAGTTGTGAGGCCTTCTTGTCAGAAACAGAGCCAACATCTTCTGGACTAAATGAGACAGTGGTACCAATTCTTGGATTCTCCTCCAGAGACCGAACTGAAGGCAAAGTCCTGGTAACCTTCTAAGTGTTTGGATTACAACTCCCATCATCCACAACTAGGGTGGCCTATGGTCAGGGATGAAGGGGGTTGCAGTCACATGGAGGGCACTGCCTTGGCTACTGGTGGACCAAAGGAACTCATCCATCGCACTCCCAACATCAAGAGAAAAATAATGGGCAACAGAACTCCTTGGAAGACGTTGAGAGTCTTCTGGCTGCCAGACAGAATCCAGGAATGCTGCTCCCACGGGTGAACCAGGTCATTATGTCATCTTTCTTCCAAATCACCGTTAACTATATTTTTAATTGTACAGTGGTACCTTGGTTCTCAAACGCCTTGGTTCTCAAACGCCGAAAGTAAGTGTTCTGGTTTTTCAACGTTTTTTGGAAACCGAACGTCAAATGCGGTTGTTGGTTATTGTTTCTGGGGTGCCTGCACCAATCAGAAGCTGCGCCTTGGTTTTCGAACGGACTTCTGGAACGGATTAAGTTTGGCACTTTTGTTTTTGTATTTATTTTCCATTTTTGTTTTTGAGGCTTTTTCAGTTCATTTGTTTTTGTGACTGTGTGGAACCTAGTTCAGCTACTGACTGATTGATTGATTGATTGATTGATTGTGTGACTGTGGAAATGGATAACAGTCCCCCATCCAAACAATGAATATCATCAGTGCAGGTAAGGAAAAAATAATAATTTTAATTTTTATCATCTACAATGCTGTCTTATTTATTTCATAGTAGAGTACACTGGTTATTGCTTTCATTTTATGGATCAATGGTGTTGTTACATAGTAAAATTCATGTTAAATTACTGTTTTAGGGGTTGTTTTTAAAAGTCTGGAACGGATTAATCCGTTTTGCATTGCTCTCTATGGGAGAGCACGCCTTGGTTTTGGAATGCTTTGGTTTTGGAACAGACTTCCGGAATGGATTAAGTTTGAGAACCAAGGTACCACTGTATGTTCCATTGACTCTGTTTGAAAGATGGCTCCTTTGTATTGCTTGTTTTCTGATTTGTGTTTGTCCACCACTTTATGAAACATTCAATCTCTTGGAAAAGTGGCTTATAAATTAATTTTTTAAAACTTCTTAAGAAATAGGGGAGAAATATTTCACTGTAAGGAAAACAGAAGTTGCCCTGTTGCCCATTCTATTCCCAAATGGGATAGGTGTCGACGGCTTGTCTCTCCTTGTGAAGAGACAGCAGGTTTTTGTACAGCTGTGTGTCACTGTGGTGGGTCTTCGGAGGAGGGACCCACCTGACTGTCACAGGTAAGTCACTGAATTTATCACAACCCTTTCCATACCTGTGACAATATTCTAACTTTTCCATCGTTTTTGCCCTTTTTTCCTTCTCTGACTGTAAACCTGACCTTTGTTGTTTAGTTTACAACAAGCCTTTCATAGAAAATGTACTTGTGATCCTAGCCAGAACGGGATATTGCAAAACCATGTTACCTGCCTCTTCTTTTCTCAAGAACATTGGACAGTTAATTCAGGCTGGGTGGGAAATTCTTTTCCTTAGTCTAGGTCAATGTGACTGTCTTTGGAAATCATTTTTTGCAAATTTCCGTGGTGGCTAAACTCAGACGTAATTTTACTGCTGGGTGCTAAAGATAGCAGAGAAGTGAATTTGAGCTGTGCTATTCCAGGTACCCGATATGAATTAAGGGCAGTTTGGATAATCCCCGAATTGTGCTCCAAAGGTCACATTAAAGCAATACACCAACCAAAATGTCACAAAATAACGTGAAGCATTTCAGGTTTCCAGAAATCTCCATTCTGGATGGCTTTACATTGTGACATTTTGGCCCACCTTATAAAATGGTTGGATCTGGGTTGTGTGGTTTTTCAAATGTAGCTCCCTTTACTTTTTCTAATTTTGTATTTTCATTTTGGGACTTCCTAAGCAGAGGAATAGAATAGATTCTGTTTCTAGATAGCTCTGCAGTTCAGAGCAACATGCTCCCAATCTAAGAGAAACAGGACTCTATGCATTCTACAACACAAAATGCAATCATCTGAAATGGAAACCAGGGTCAACTCTGTGCATTAAATTTCACCAGAACTGAATGGGGTTTGGGAACAAACTGAAGTGACCACTTTGCAATTCACAGTGCATCAGAAGGTTGAAACCTAACCCATGAGATCGATGATCCGATCTCCTGATTTTTTCCTTTGCTGTTAAATCAACTGCACAGGCTTAATGTATTAATTGAAGTAGAGGCACAGCAGCAAAGATTAATTCTGTAGTCTCAATTGCTGCATCCCAGACTTACTGTTGGTCCCACTGGAAAAATATAGACGCTTCTTTCTTTCTTTCTTTCTTTCTTTCTTTCTTTCTTTCTTTCTTTCTTTCTTTCGGAATATCTGCACCCCATGCTAGTCATTGCTCAGAGTAGACCTGCTGAAATGAACAAATTTAACTCCATTAATTTCAGTTGGTCTGCATGAATTAATACTGAGTTGAGTGCAACCCAAATGACATTAACAATAAGAATATTCCATTAATCCGTTAATATAGGCATGTCCAAATGTCCAAATAGGCACCTAAATGAGACTGGTGGTTATAAGCCATGCATTAAAAGGGAGAAAGCACCAGATAGATGATAGATGATAGATGAAAGATGAAAGATGACAGATAGACGATAGACGATAGACAGATAGACAGACAGACAGACAGATAGAGATAGATAGATAGATAGATAGATAGATAGATAGATAGATAGATAGATAGATGATAGACAGACAGAGATAGATAGATGATAGATAGATAGATAGATAGATAGATAGATAGATAGATAGATAGATAGATAGATGATAGATAGATAGATAGATAGATAGATAGATAGATAGATAGATAGATAGATATAGATGATTGAATCTTTATTTGAATCAGTCAATAGCTGTAGCAATAAAATAAAATGTACTGAAGATAGAGGTAAAAACTTAACTATAGAAAATACATTTTGGGGGTTTTACATCATTAATCAAATGATAGATTTTATTTTAATTGTCCCCACTAAAAACCTCACACTTTTTGTGCGGTGCAAATGGAGCTGTACAAAGAAAGGTAAAAATGCTTGTAAATATATGAACTGTGTGTTGGGAGAAAACCTGGTGAACATTCTGTGAGGACCGAAAAAGAAACCATGAATTGATTTGAAAACATGGGAAATTGAACTTAAGCCCAAGAAAATGAGAAACTATAATTTAGAAGATTAACGCTTCCCTATTACCTGACGACAAGACAAACCAGTAAGACAACTTATTCAGAGTTGCTTGTTCGTCTTTTTCTTGTAACATGGTTGAAATCATTTTTAAAAAATATATGGATAAAAACCAATGCTCCCCTTCTGCTTTCAGTGGAGACATCTGTTGACATTTGAGAAGGGGGGCAGAGTTTTCTCTAATTTTCCCTATCCAAGTGTATCCCCCAGCCTTTGAGATCCATTCCAGAGGCTTGTGGGACCTTCTGAACAGTGTGAAGCAGTTGGCAATGAGGGGAAACCAGAGAAAATCCTCTCCCCCTTTCTATGTTCATAGATGGTGTCTTCACATAACTAGAATAGATTTCACCTCAGGGATCTTTACCCTCCGAATTTGGAGTTAAGGCTTGTTCACAAAAGTGAAGCACTGCCTTATCCCCCCAAATGACCCTCTCAGCGGGCAAAAATGGCCATTGCGTGGTCTCCCAATTGGGGGGGGGTGCTTCTGCCCTCTGTTCCTGCTTGCGAGCTTCCCATAGACATCAGGTTGACTACTGTGAGAGCAGGACAGAGGACTAGATAGGCCTTTGCAATCCTCATCCAGCTGAACTCTTCTTCTGTTTTAATGCTATGTTCTCTATCCATTGTTGGAGGCTGTCTCTCAATAGCAGCTGCTGGGAATCAAAACGCATGGAACAGTTTAGCTCTCAGACTGTCAAATGACATGGGCTCTGTTGTCAAAGTCTGGGAATCGGATTTCCAAAATGGCATCCGGGCATATTTTTGCTGCGGCGTTATGGCAACTAGGACAATTTTTTAATTTATTTTTTAGAATAATGCCTTAAAAAATGAAAAAGAAGTCCAAAATGGAGAGCCAGTGTGGTGTAGTGGTTAAGAGCGCTAGACTCGTAATCTGGTGAACCGGGTTCGTGTCTCCGCTCCTCCACATGCAGCTGCTGGGTGACCTTGGGCCACTCACACTTCTCTGAAGTCTCTCAGCCCCACTCACCTCACAGAGTGTTTGTTGTGGGGGAGGAAGGGAAAGGAGAATATTAGCCGCTTTGAGACTCCTTCGGGTAGTGATAAAGCGGGATATCAAATCCAAACTCTTCTTCTTCTTCTTAAGCTAATTTTTTTGGGGAGATGTTCCCCCAAAAAGCTCAAAAACTTTGAAAAACAAAAAGGCAACCCTACTTTTGGATTATGCCAACCCTACTTTGGACCAGATCCAGAAAGGCTCATTGTATATTCTTTAAATTACTTATGCACAATGAACATAGGTGCTGACTCCCTGGGCCCCTGGGTGCCTGAGCACCCACAAAATTTCCCATGAACGGACTGGGCACCCACAAATTTCAGTTCCAGGGCCATGCACGCTGGATGGCACCCATGGCCTCAGGCAGCCACAGTCCTGGGGCCAGGTTTGCACTCCTGACAATGATAGTTCACCATGTGTACAAGAACAAATAAGGTGCTTTGTAGATCTCTCCTTTGCTATGGCTGTCAGTATAAATATGTGAGTTTAAAAGTGCATATCAGGGAGGGAATGTATATGCCAGTTCTTAAGCAGCTCTCCAGTTTCTAAATTAGTCTTAACTTTGTTTTATCTTTGTGTTAATTGGTTTTAACTCATCAATATTTTATAGAGCGGAGATGAAAGGACAGAAGTTCAGGAAGTTTCTCAAAGCCCTAGAAATGTCAGACTATGACCCCAAGACCTTTTGCATGGAAACCAAGCTCTGCAGCCTCTCCCATTAGCATAGATGTATGATCTACAACTCCCTCCCATGTGCACTGTGGTATTCTAGTTGCAGATATTCCTAACCAGACTCATGCACTGTAATGAGGAAGAGAAATCTCTGAATAAATTCTTCCTCACCACAGCTCAAGGGTGCCAAGAATGCCTGTGTTGCTTCATAGACCAAAAGATACAGGTTCAATTATGTGTATATTGCACAACAGTATTTTCTGTGCTATGAAGCATTAAGGTTCGGTTCCCCTTGGCAATTTTCAGAGAATCATGAAGAGGTCGAAGGGGTCTTCAACCACACTTAGTCCAACTTACAGCCCAATGATTCCTCTTTCTAAAAATAGATGGTTTCAGGAGCCACCATTTAAATTTGCTCACAGTGATTCAGAGTAATGCAGGAGTATTATGGGGAATTTAAATGGCAGCTCCCAGTTTCTGACACCATCATCACATGGAGCACAATAAATCTTTTAGGATACATCCATATGATATATTAAATCGTGGGGCACTCTGAGAATATATAATGCATAATAGCAGTTAAACAGAGAAGAAGGCTTCACAAGCAACAGTATTACAAAGTTTCTTGAGGCTGGAGGAGAAGAAAAGCTTTTGGAGGAGACTTACATCAAAATGTCATGGCTTCCAGATAGTCAAATGTCCTTACAAAACATTTCAGAACACAACTTTGGGGGAAAGAGTCAGATAGCGCTTCCTTTATGAAATCAAATAAATTATTACATGTGTCAGATATTTAATTCCCCCCCCCTGAGACACGACGCTTAACCAGATTTCCCCTTGACTTCCAGGTCAGCCAACAGTACCTCCAACAGTGAACGTCTTCCCACCATCCCCAGAAGAACTGAAGAGCTCAGACAAAGCCACCCTGGTGTGTCTCATAGATGGCTTTTACCCAGGTGTTGTCCAAGTTACCTGGCAGGCTGATGGCACCCCCATCTCCTCTGGGGTGGAGACAACCACGCCTACCAAGCTGAATGACAAGTACGCGGCCAGCAGCTACCTCAGCATGAAAAAGTCTGACTGGGAGAGCTATGAGGCAGTCATCTGCAAAGTGACGCATGAAGGGAAGACCGTTGAGAAGGTGGTGAGGAGATTGGACTGTGCCTAAAGGCTGGATGGGTCTGATGAGTTCCTCGTGCCTCCAGAAGCTGAGAAGAAAGAGTCCTTTCATGTTCAAGGGGGCCAAGTTTATTCTCTGATTTCCTCTAATGCTACGTTGATCCATCCAGCCTGGTTTCCTTCCTATGTCGTTCCCCTCCCCACACCCTCTCCCTTCCTCTTCTCCCTGGAATCTCCTTTGTATGTTGGCTTATAATGTCTGCAAATGAATAAAATGTCATACATTTCACCGGTGTGATTTCTTGACCCACTTATTTCTTCCATCTCCTTCAAGCAGGTTGTATTCATGGTTTCCTGTCCTATCACAGAAGGAAGTGTGCTGTTACTCAGCCAAAATGCACTCAACTCAGGTCTGTGGCTGATAGCAGCAGTGATAAATGCAGTGGTAAAAGCAGTGCGATTTCATGGGAATGTAGGAACTGGCCTTCTCCCAAGTCAGCCCAGTTGTCCATCTAGGTGGGCAATTCTACACTGGTGGGGTGTGGCTTTCCTGGAGATCAGACAGGGTTCTCTCTTAGTCCTACCTACCAATTTAGGTCCTAAGAAATGGAAAAAGTCAATTTCGGTTCGGGATGCATCCCAGATTCCTTTCTGGTGGGTATTTCAAACATTCCCAAACCTTACTTACAATCTGACATGTTCTTCCTTCCAGTCAGTGAATCACTCATTGCATTCAGGATGTTTAATGAAGAGGTTCTAGGCTCTAGTGAATTAAAATCACGGGTTTCTCCTGAGTGTAAGAGAAAATAAAATAAAATAAAGTAAAATAAAATAAAATAAATAAAATAAAATAAAATTCCATAATCACTGGGAAGCTTTTAGCCAATACCTTATCAATATACCCACTAAATCAGCAGACATGGAGTAAAGGTAGAAATCTTTCTACCTTGTGACTCAGCTGTAGCCCTTGAGTTGTTATAATTCCCATCATCCCTGACCATTGGCCATGCTGGCTGAGTGGGATGCAAGCTGCAGTCCCACAGCATCTGCAGGGTCCAACCCTGGCATAAAGCAACAGCTATGGGACAGGATTTTGGTAAGCTTCCCATTTCCTCCATCAGATTGCAGTCACCCTGCCTATACCATAAAAATGCATCTCCCGGTTTTATGCACATTACTGTCATGAGGTAGGTAGCCCATGAAGAAAATGCTACAGCACACCTTGTTGCCAGCTTTCTGCACACTCCTATTTGAATTAGGCTATCTGGGGCGATGTCAGGGACTGGTCAGAGAAGGAATGGTGCAGACTGCCTCCCCATCCTGATCCCTCCAGAGAGGAGGAAGAGGAAGACACTACAGTGGTACCTTGGGTTAAGTACTTAATTCGTTCCAGAGGTCCGTTCTTAACCTGAAACTGTTCTTAACCTGAACCACCACTTTAGCTAATGGGGCCTACTGCTGCTGCCGCACCACTGGAGCACAATTTCTGTTCTCATCCTGAAGCAAAGTTCTTAACCTGAAGCACTATTTCTGGGTTAGCGGAGTCTGTAACCTGAAGCGTATATAACCTGAAGCGTATGTAACATGAGGTACCACTGTATAAATCTAGAACAGGGGTTTGAAGGAGGTCACAGCTCAGAGGCAGAGGAGGGTGGAAGTTGGGAAATCAGGGGAGAGGAAGAGACAGGACCGGAATGGCAGCTGGCTGACACGGTGTCTTTAGAAAGCATCCCAGACCCTTCATCTCCCAGAACCCACGAGCCTTAAAAGCAGGAGATCGAAGAGCTCAAAGACAGAGGGCACATAGCAGCACCCGTAGAGGAGATGAATGAGGAAGTGGGAGAGATGGAGGTGGAGATTCACTTGGAAGAACACCATTATCCAAGAAGATGGGTTCTATAGCTTCTCTCTGTAATATTGAAATAAAAAAGGACAGTAAGAAACTTTTCCTTGTCTTTATACTTTCCTGGACAACCAGCCAGGAGCTGCTGACAGCAACCTGACAGGGGGAAAGGGGGAGAGAGGGAGATACCCACGTCCTTGGAAGATGTTTATGGCTGCTTGTGAGCAATATGTACACAATGGGTACCAGGAGTGCCAACTTGACTCCGCGACTGTGGGTGTCTGGCACCATAGGTGCAATGAAGTGTTCATGGCCCTGGCACAGAAATTTGTGGGTGCCCGGCCCCTTCATGGGGAATTTTGTGGGTGCTCGGGAACCCAGGGCACCAGGGAGTGAACCTATGATGGGTATCAAATGTCAGTATCAAATGGTGAAGGATTTACACCAGCTCAACAAGCAGGTCTTTCCTTAGCCAGCTCCCACTTTTTTATTTCCAACCTGTCCATGGAGGGTTAGCTTCCTCCTCTTCAGTCTCAAAGTTCTCCAGCTGCTGCATCTCACCTCTCCTCAGCATCCAACTGGACCCTACTTAAGCCAGAGTTCTCTGGACCAAAGTTGTCTTCCATTCCATGCCTCATGCTCACAGATTCACCCCCATAAGAATGAGCAGCAGCCCCCACTGCATCTCCCCCAGTTTCTGCCTACGATGGACTACTACAAACACACACAACAGGGCAATTATGATCGAAATGCAAATCTACGATGTTTCAAAGAGGTCTTCCACAGCATCATTTGTTTATTATAGTCTGTCTATTCCGTCCTTCCTTCCAAAGGAGCCCAATGTGCCACAGGCATCGTTTCATGTGTACCTGCTGTTATCTAGGCCTGAACATATGTAAGCAGACATGGTCCAAGGTACCTTGCTGACCAGGTGACCATGGCTGCACTTCATGGATGGTTCAGCAGGTAAACTCTCTGCCTTGGAACTAATTGCCACTCAAATGATATACATAAATCAGAATAATAAAAGCAATCCGATTGTGAGTATCGGCTTTGCAGAAGTCTCAAAGTCTGCTCCTGTTGGCTTCTGTCTATGAAATCCGTGGTGCTGACCACAAAATCCATGGTGCAGTGCAATTCTGATCGAAATACATTTGCAGGGAAACTACCCAGGCCTGCATTATTTCACACAGAAAGTTGGACAGTGTGCAAATGAGAGAAGTCAGAAGCCATACAAGCAATCGAGAGTTTTCTTCAACCCACAAATCCTAAGTGCCAGATTATGTGGAAGCATCTCTATTTCACCCTGAATAAATGAAATTCATTGGCACCTCTCAAAACTCAATAACAAGCTCATTTTTAAAAATCAGTGATAACTGTTTTCTCTGAAACATACCTGTAGCTGATTAGGGAAGTTCATATTTAAGCTCCAGTGCATTGAGTTTAATTTATAAGAAGGCAAAGCTTCACTGCTTACAGATTAATTCACTTGTGAGGACTCTTGTAAGAAACAGGGCCAACATCTGCTGCACAAAATAAGGCAGTGGTATCAATGGTTTGGTTCTCCTATAGAGATCTAGTTAGGATGACTAAAGCAGAGGTAGACAACATGGTGGGTTCCAGATCTTTTGGACTACAGTGCCCATCATCCACAGTTAGGATGGCCAATGCTTAGGGACGATAGGAGTTGTAGTCCACAGGAACTGAAGGGCACCACTGTCCTTCCCACGGACCAGAGAAATTCATCTCTAATACTCCTTACATTTATAAATGAATAACTTGGAACAGAACTACTTGGAAGTCCAGAGACTCTTCCAGATACTCAGCACAGACTGTATCCGCCTTGCCCAGAGATAAGCCAGGTAAGTATGACATTTTTCTTCCCAAACATAATGCTATGTACAATATTTCATTGCATGTGCCATTGACTCTAAGCATTCTTTAAAACTGTATTTGAACTCCTTGTTTTGACTGGTGTTTGTATACCGCTTTATGAAACATTGGATTTCTGGGGAAAGCAGCTTATAAATCTATTAAAAATAAACTTCTTCAGAATTGGGGGGAAATATGTCACCGTGGCGCTGTGAGTTAAACCAAAGAGTCTAGGATTTGCCGATCAGAAGGTCGGCGGTTCGAATCCCTGCAACGGGGTGAGCTCCCATTGCTCGGTCCCTGCTCCTGCCAACCTAGCAGTTTGAAAGCACATCAAAGTGCAAGTAGATAAATAGGTACCACTCCGGCGGGAAGGTAAACGGTGTTTCCGTGTGCTGCTCTGGTTTGCCAGAAGCGGCTTAGTCATGCTGGCCACATGACCTGGAAGCTATACGCTGGCTCCCTCGGCCAGTAAAACGAGATGAGCGCCATAAACCCAGAGTTGGTCACGACTGGACCTAATGGTCAGGGGTCTCTTTACCTTTACCTATGTATACCGTAAGGACAATAGCAGTTCTCCTATTGCCCATTCTATTCCCAAATGGGATAGTTGTCCCATTGTGAAGGAACAGCAGGTTTTTGTCAAGCTGTGTGTCACTGTGGTTCGTCTTCGGAGGAGGGACTCACTTGACTGTCCTTGGTAAGTCACCAAATTTATCAGTCCTTTCCACACCTGTGGCAATGTTTTAACTTTTCCATCACTTTTGCCCTCTTTTCCTTCTCCGGCTGTCATTTACTTTGCAATGAGAATTTACTATAAAAGGTATTTGAAATCCTAGCCAGAGCTGAATTGTGCAAACTCATTTTGCAGGCTTCTCCTTTCCTCAATAACACTGGAAAGTTAGGGGTGGGCAGGGATTTCTTTTCCTTAGTCTAGGTCATTGTGACAGTATTTGGGTGAAATATATCAAAATATCCTTGGTGGCTGAACCATTGGATGCAAAAGATGGTAAAGAAGTAAAACTGGGCTATAATGTCACTGTAAGTAAAACAGAAGTTGTCCTATTACACATGTGAAGGAACAGCAGGTTTTTGTACAGCTGTGTGTCATTGTGGTATGTCTTCGGAGGAGGGACCCACCTGACTGTCACAGGTAAGTCACTGAATTTATCACAACCCTTTCCATACCTGTGACAATATTCTAACTTTTCCATCATTTTTGCCCTCTTTTCCTTCTCTGACTGTAAAACCTGACCTTAGGGCATTTGTAGTTTAGTTTACAATTAGCCTTTAATAGAAACTGCATTTGTAATCCTAGCCAGAGCAGGATGTCGCAAATCTGTTTTACATGCCTCTTCTCTCCTCAATAACACTGGGAAATTATTGGTGGGTCATTGTGACAATCTTTGAAAATATTTCTATCAAATTCCCCTTCTCGACTAACCTTGACATAATCTTACTGTTGGGTGCAAAAGATGGTAGAGAAGTAAATTTGAGTTGTAGTGTTCCTTCCAGGTACCCAATATGATTTATGAGGAAGGTTGAATCAGTTTCTAATGGTGCTCCAAAATCCATATTAGTGCAAAAGACCAACCAAAATGTAATAAAATAGTGTGGAGAATCTCAGCTTTCCAGTCCATTCTGGAGAACTGATAAACTTGCAGACTGCCTTGTGACATTTGGGCCGGGTTTATAAATGTACAGTCCTACTGTAGATTTCTGAATTTTTCTTAGGAACTAATGTGGCTCTCTTCACTTTTTCTATTTTGCGTCTTCCTATCTAGAATCATAGATTCTGTTCAAAAGAACTGTTTTTTGTTTTGTAAAACTCAGTAATCCACAGACACAGGCTCCCAAATGACTTTTTAAAATAAAAATCTGAAGATGTTCAACATTTTGTTGATAGTTAAATGTAGCCACCTAAATGTAAACCACAGTCTACATATTTCAGCAAAACTGAATGGGTTTTTCGGAGAAAGTTGGAGTGACGGTTTTGCAAGAAGGCTAAGAGAGATCTAAACTGATATATCTAGAATCAGACCACCTGAGATTTAAGGGGCACGATGGAATCAAATGCAACAAGCTTCATTTTTTAACTAAAATAGAGGCACAGCAGGAGAGAGAATCAACCAATTTCCTTATTTCTTTAGTCTCAATTCTCACACCCTAAACTTAATGTTGGTCTCACTGGGTGAAAAATACGTGGGGTACTTTTCTTCCTTTGTTCAATTTTTTATTTGCTAATATAAAAGGAAGGAGCAAAGCTAAAGTCACTAGGTTGTATCAAATACTAGTCCTGTTTGGAGTAAACCAATTGCAGGCATAAAAGACTTACATTTTTAAAATAAAAATCTGAAGATGTTCAACATATTATTGATTGTTAAATGTAGCCACGTAAAATGTAAACCACAGTCTACATATTTCAGCAAACTGAATGGGCTTTTAGAAGAAAGTTGGAGTGAGGGTTTTGCAAGAAGGCTAAGAGAGATCTAAACTGATATATCTAGACAGACCACCCTGAGATTTAAGGGGCACGATGGAATCAAATGCAACAAGTTTCATTTTTTAACTGAAATAGAGGCATAGCAGGAGAGAGAATCAACCAATTTCCTTATTTCTTTAGTCTCAATTCTCACACCCTAAACTTAATGTTGGTCTCACTGGGTGAAAAATACGTGGGTACTTTTTCTTCCTTTGTTCAATTTTTTATTTGCTAATATAAAAGGAAGGAGCAAAGCTAAAGTCACTAGGTTGTATCAAATACTAGTCCTGTTTGGAGTAAACCAATTGCAGGCATAAAAGACTTACATTTTTAAAATAAAAATCTGAAGATGTTCAACATATTATTGATTGTTAAATGTAGCCACGTAAAATGTAAACCACAGTCTACATATTTCAGCAAAACTGAATGGGCTTTTAGAAGAAAGTTGGAGTGAGGGTTTTGCAAGAAGGCTAAGAGAGATCTAAACTGATATATCTAGACTCAGACCACCTGAGATTTAAGGGGCACGATGGAATCAAGTGCAACAAGTTTCATTTTTTAACTGAAATAGAGGCATAGCAGGAGAGAGAATTAACCAATTTCCCTATTTCATTAGTCTCAATTCTCACACCCTAAACTTATGTTGGTCTCACTGGGGGAAAAAAAAATTTATTTGCAAATATAAAAGGAAGGAGCAAAGCTAAAGACACTAGGTTGTATCTAATACTAGTCCTGCTTGGAATAAACCAATTGCAGGCATAAAAGACTTACGTTCACTCATTTCAGTGGGTCTTTTTGGATTAAAACTGAGTTGCATGCTACCCAGCTGGCACTGGCAATAAGAATATTCCATTAATCCTAATGTAAATATAAATATAGGCAGATTTACAAATAGTTATACGAATGATACTGGTCATTATAAGCCATGCATTAAAAGGGAGAAAGCCCAGGGAGCTCTTCAGACTGCTGTGACACCTTCAGACCTAGAGGGGTTTAACAATCAATTTGTTTCTCATGGGAATTCTGGGAATTATAGTTCTGTGAGGAGAATAGAGGGATCCTAAAATCTCTCCACAACCTTTCCAAACTACCGTTCCCAGAGTTCTTTGGGGAAGCCATGGCTATTTAGAGTGCTTTGATCCTATTTTAAATGGGTTGTGCAAATGGGTCTATACAAAGAGGGGTAAATCTGCTTGGAGATGTGTGTAAGTTGGGGGGAAAGATGGTGAACATGAACTGATTTGAAAAAACGGGAAATGGAACTTAAGCCCAGGAAAATAAGAAACTAAAACTGACCAATTAACGTATATCTGTTACCTGACTACATCACTTGCCAATAGGATGCCTTATTCAGAAGTGCTTGTTCTTTTTCTCTGACAATGATTGAAATCATATTATTATTATTATTATTATTATTATTATTATTATTATTATTAGGATAAAAACCCATGCTCCTATTCTGCTGTCAGTGGAGCCATCTGCTAACATATAAGAAGGGGCCAGTTTTCTCTGATTTATCCCACCCAACTGAGGTCTCCTCTGGCTTAAAATTCATTCCAGATGGTTGTGGGACCTTCTGAACAGTGTGAGGCAGCTGGCAGTGAGGGGAAGGGGGAACCAGAGAAAACCAGCTCCCCGTTTTTATGTTAAAAAAAATTAATAACTGGAAGGGATTTCACCTCAATGATTTTTATTCTCCAGATTCAGAGTTAAGACTTGTTTACAGAAGTGAAATGCTGTCTTTCCCCTCTATATGGCTGTGCCAGTGAGCAAAAATGGCTGTGCCAGCGAGCAAAAGTGGCTTGGACTCCCAAATGGGCAGAGTGCTGCTGCACTCTGTTCATGCTTCTGAGCTTCCCATAGACACCCAGTTGATCGCTGTGAGAGCAGAATGGAGGCCTAGATGGGCCATTGCAACCCTGATCCAGCAGACCTCTTATTTTCTGGTGCTCTTAGAGGCCATTTTGCAATACCCGTTGCCATGGATCAAGAGCACAGAGAGGGCTGTTGCTCTCGGAATCTTTTTGCAAGCTTCCAATAGACATCAGGTTGACCGCTATGAGCACAGTGTCCCAAGCAGACGGGCTTCTTGCCTGATCCGGAAGGGCTTATCTTATTGACTTTAAAATATTTATGTGCAATGAAAGTTCACCCCCTCTGAGAGCAAACAAGGGTGCTTTATTGATCTCTCCTTTGCTATGGCAGTCAGTATAAATATGTGGGCCATTTCCCCAGAAGAACTCGTAATTTTGAACAATCCTTTGTACAGTGGTACCTCAGGTTAAGTACTTAATTCGTTCCAGAGGTCCGTACTTAACCCGAAACTGTTCTTAACCTGAAGCACCAGTTTAGCTAATGAGGCCTCCTGTTGCTGCCGCGCCGCCAGAGCACAATTTCTGTTCTCAAAGTTCTCTGAAGCAAAGTACTTAACCCGAGGTAATATTTCTGGGTTAGCGGAGTCTGTAACCTGAAGCGTATGTAACCTGAGGTACCACTGTGCTTAAGAACAAGTGACCAGTCCAAATTGACCTTGTCCACTACTGACCATGCCAGGGAATGGGTAACATAGTAATCCTCTACTTGTGCCCGGATGCTGTGACACCAGAAATCACATCAGCCATGCCCATGCTTAATGGGGCTGTCACCGACTGGAGAGACACAGATTCCACATCCCTGCTTTATGCTGACTGGCAGCACTTGCAGTTATGGGATAGGGAGATCTGAACAGCTTTCTTCTTTCTTCGGCCGAGTAAGATTGTCTTCCATAAACACAGTTTTAAAAGTGATTATGTAAGTGACTATGGGATCTGGATCCACAAGTCCTTCCACAGTGGAGACATGGGTTTCCGGGTGGGCGTTGGTCATGGTGAGGGTTTGCCGAATGTGCCTTCCTCATAACATGTTTCTCCCTTTCGTTCTGAGTTTGAGCATCTTCAAAGTCCACAACACCTTCGGTAAAAGCTGTTCTCCAACTGGAGCGCTCGCAGGCCAGTGCTTCCCAGTTGTCGGTTATTATACAGTGGTACCTCGGGTTACATACGCTTTAGGTTACAAACACGTCAGGTTACAGACTCCGCTAACCCAGAAACAGTACCTCGGGTTAAGAACTTTGCTTCAGGATAAGAACAGAAATCGTGCAGCAGCAGCAGGAGGCCCCATTAGCTAAAGTGGTGCTTCAGGTTAAGAACAGTTTCAGGTTAAGAACAGACCTCCAGAACGAATTAAGTTCTTAACCCAAGGTACTACTGTACTACATGTTTTTATATTTGCCTTGAGAGTCTTTAAATCTCTTTTGTTGACCACCAGCATTGCACTTCCCATTTTTAAATTCAGAATAGAGTACAGTGGTACCTCCAGTTGCAGATGGTTGGATCCCAAGGAATTCGCAACTGGAGGTGCAGCTACTGCGCATGTGCGTGGCACCGTTTAGCGCTTTTGCGCATGCGCGCACGGTGAAACCCGGAAAAATACTTCTGGGTTTGCCACGTACATATCCCAAAGGATATGTAACCAGAGGTCAACGTAAGCAGAGGTACCACTGTAGTTGCTTTGGAAAATGGTAATCAGGCATCTGCACAAGATGATCAGCCCAACTTTGCTTCTTCCAGTACACTGGCCTGTCTTCCCAAATGATGTGTAAAATTTGACCGCATCTCTCTAGTGTCTATGGTGTTCTAGATGTGGATATTCCTAACTGGACTGATGCAGTCTAAACTCTCACAGATCACCACAGTTCAGTCATGCCAAGAATGCCTGTGTTGCTTCATAGACCATAATATATTTTGCATGGGTTGAATCATGTGTTTGTTGCACGACAACATTTTGGGTTGCTATAAAGGAATACGACCTGGTTCTCCTGGACCTTTTTCATAGAATCATAAAGAGCTGTAAGACATCTTGTAGGACACTTCCAGCTCAAAGTATAGCTACCAAATAGTAACAGGTCCTTCCAAAACATTTCAGCACACTACATTGGAGAACTGGGTCAGATAGTGCTTCCTTTATGAAATCAAATAACTTATTACATGTGTCAAATATTTAATACTCCCCTGAGACACAACACTTAACCAGATTTCCCCTTGACTTCCAGGTCAGCCAACAGTACCTCCAACAGTGAACGTCTTCCCACCATCCCCAGAAGAACTGAAGAGCTCAGACAAAGCCACCCTGGTGTGTCTCATAGATGGCTTTTACCCAGGTGTTGTCCAAGTTACCTGGCAGGCTGATGGCACCCCCATCTCCTCTGGGGTGGAGACAACCACGCCCACCAAGCTGAATGACAAGTACGCGGCCAGCAGCTACCTCAGCATGAAAAAGTCCGACTGGGAAAGCTATGAGGCAGTCATCTGCAAAGTGACGCATGAAGGGAAGACCGTTGAGAAGGTGGTGAGGAGATTGGACTGTGCCTAAAGGCTGGATGGGTCTGATGAGTTCCTCGTGCCTCCAGCAGCTGAGAAGAAAGAGTCCTTTCATGTTCAAGGGGGCCAAGTTTATTCTCTGATTTCCTCTAATGCTACGTTGATCCATCCAGCCTGGTTTCCTTCCTATGTCGTTCCCCTCCCCACACCCTCTCCCTTCCTCTTCTCCCTGGAATCTCCTTTGTATGTTGGCTTATAATGTTTGCAAATTAATAAAATGTCATACATTTCACTGGTATGATTACTTTACTCACTAACGTATTCCAGGTACTTCAAACAGGTTGTATTCATGGTTTCCTGTCATATTACAGAAGGAAGTGTGCTGTTACTCAGCCAAAATGCACTCAGCTCAGGTCTGTGGCTGGTAGCAGCAGCAGTGGAAAGAGCAGTGTGATTTCATAGAAACATAGGAATTGGTTTTCTCCCAAGTCAGCCCAGTGGTCCATCTAGGTGGGCATTTTCTACACTTGTGGGATGTGGCTTTCCTGGAGATCAGGCAGAATTCTCTATATGAGGTGCTTTTTCTGGGGGGACGCAGGGGACGCATACCCCTAAACATTTTGTGAATCTAATGGGAGAAGAAAAAAAATTAGTTTCTTCTCTAGCACAGTGAATCGTCTGTTCCATTGCTACCCCCAATGGCTGCCTTTTGTCCATAAACACAGTAAATTTTTCTCAAATTGAACTATAAAATGGTGATTTTCTTGAGTCAAAATGAGAGTACCTCTAAACATTTTTTTAAAATAAAAAAAGCACTGTCTATATTTGACCTGTGATCCTTTCCAATGAGCAGTGCTTTATCTAAACAGGTTCCAGTGCTAGAGGAGCAGAGCTACATAATGGCTCAGCAACCTTTTTAGTATTATTATTGTGATCAACTGACCCTTTCAATTGCGGTTGTTTTTTTTAAATGAATTGGCTTCCTTTGCCCAGTGGAAGTTGGCTGGTTGTCGTTCCACTCCATGATTCATTTCAGGTGGTCTTTCAAACATTCCCAAACATTGCCACTGGTCTGCCATCTTCTTCAAGCCACAATATGGAGAGTGGTCCATTTGGGTCCATAGGTACAAATGGAGCCCTGGTCCACCAACCTCAGTGTCCTCAGGAAGACCCAACCTGCCTGCCTTCTGTACAACCATTCAACAGATGGCTCTGCCTCTACTTGGCTCCAGCCCTACTTTCCACCCAATCAGTTTCATTGCTCTGATTGCTTTGGGGAGGCAATATGAAGAGCCGATAGCCTCCAGTGAATGAAAGTCATAGGTTTCCCTGAAGAATAGGATAAATTCTTTTTAAAAACTGCTTTAAGTATGTCTAACTGCTTCTGAAGACCATGTGGAATGATTGGTATAAGAACAGTATACCTGAAGGAGCATCTCCACCCCCATCGTTCAGCCCAGACACTGAGGTCCAGCTCCAAGTGCCTTCTGGTGGTTCCCTGCCTGCAAGAAGTGAGGTTACAGGGAACCCATCAGAGGCCTTCTCAGTAGTGGCACCCGTCCTGTGGAACACCCTCCCATCAAATGTCAAGGAAATAAACAACTATCTGACTTTTAGAAGACATCTGAAGGCAGCCCTGTTTAGGGAAGTTTTTAATGTCTGATGTTTCATCGCTTTTATTATTAATAATAATATTCTGTTGGGAGCCGCCCAGAGTGGAAAACCCAGCCAGATGGGCGGTGTATAAATAAATTATTATTATTATTATTATTATTATTATTATTATTATTATTACAATGACATGCTGAAAAAGTGACCTGCTTACTGTGCTAGCATAAATCCTGGTTAATAATAATAATAATAATAATAATAATAATAATAATAATAATTCCCGGACACCACTTTGGTACTTCCTCTTTCCCCATTTTTAGAATGAAAGGTAACTCCTAAACAGAGATATGAAAACCTACAAGAAGAAAAGTGGAAAAATTGAGGAAACTCATTTCCCCAGAAATATTTCCAAGTTGTTCTTTCCCCCTATTTATTGCCCCCAAAATTGAAAGGAAAACCACAAAAATTGGTAGGGGGACAATTTTTTCCATATTTTTTCCCAGGTCTTCACATCTCTAGTGCTTCTGATGTAAATGTCCACCTCATCTGTTATCCTGTTTCCCACAGCTGGTAGTCGGGTGGCCTTCAGGGACAGCCAGGTATGCTTCCAGGAAGCCCACAAGAAGGCAACTCTGAGGAACTCTACATTAGTTGCTAGCAGTGGGCACTTCTACATGTAGATGAAAAGACAAATATTTTCTCCCTCATCAGCCTTCTCCCTCGCCTGTTTTTCTCACATCCACACTGCTCCATGACAAAACCCTTCCACCCCAAAAGAGATAACCATCCGCTTCATTTTGATACGTCAAAATAAGAGAGGGTCTCCAACTTTAATTTCTGAGTGTCGGCTTAAAATATCAGCCTACTGTTGACATCCACAGGAGACTACAGAACCCATGATACAGTGCAACTGTGATCAAAATACACCTCCACAGAAACATCCTAGGCCTGTGTAAGGCAGGGAATGGAAGCAAGAACCACCACAGCAGAGGCAAATAACAAAGCATAGGTTCCAGCATTTCTCTTATCAAAACAGGGACATCCTATTCCACAAGAGTAATTTTACTATTAATATCCTTCCCATCTGACTGGGTTGCCCCAGCTACTCAAGGCAGCTTCCAACATATATAAAAGCATAATAAAACATTGAAGATTTTTTATTATGATTTTTCCCTATACAAGGCTGCCATAAGATGGAACCGCAGGTTGGATAACTCAATTCCCTTCAACATTTCTCTGATGAAAATAGGGATGTCCTAAGGAAAAGGGGCCTCTTTATGGATCACTGCCTTGTCATGGCAAAGGGGCTTGAATAACTCAGTGTAGCTATGAGTTATGGTGTGCAAGGCCACCCAAGACGGACAGGTCTTAGCCGAGAATTTAGACTAAATATGATCCACCTGGAGAAGGAACTGGCAATCCACTCCAGTATTTTGCCAAGGAAACTCCATGGACATAAAAAAGGAGTAGCTTTGAGAAGAAAGTGAGAGTTTCCAAGGCATGCCCTGGTTCATGGGATCATGGAGAGTCAAACAAAATTAAGATGACTAAACAACAACAACAAAAGGAAAAGGGAGACATTCTGGGATCAAAGCGGAAACCGGGGTGGCTTCTGTAAATCCAGGGCTGTTCCCTAGAGAGACTGACAACATTATTTTTAAGGTATTTTAAATGGTTTCTCAAAGGGTTAAGATGTCATACTAGCTGCTCATTACAGGTAAGTTCCTACGTATTGTCAAAGAAACGGTTCAATGCCTTGAGTTAATTTATAAGAAACTTTTGCAGCATAGATAAAACTTCACTGTCTGTGTGATCTCTTCTAAGAAAGGATTTCTTCATTAACTGGATGTGTTACTGTTTCCCAGAAAGGTAAGGTTGCCTGACTAATTCATTCTTTGGGAATTCTGATGCAAACTGATATGATCATTGGCCCCATGGACTAAGGTGCAAATTAGTCATCTTTGGATTTTGTGTTTCTCCAAATTTTGCGATACAGTTCTTAGCTTTAAAAAATCAAGGATCTGCATCTTAGCATCAAATCTGTTTTCAGAAATGCATGATTTGAGAGAAATATGTATATTGGAAAAAATACGTTCAAAATTAACCATGTTTGTGGCAAATTAAATAACAATAGCAATTGTAGATTAATGTGGGAAGGGGACCAAAGGGACTTACAAATGGAAATGGATTTATGAATGAATATGGATCTATGAATGGACATGGACAGGAAATAAACTGACCCATTCATCCCTACCACTGGAAAATTGGTTGGATAAAGGACTTCATCTAACATACTCCCTGCATCCAAGAACAGACTGTCTGGGCAATGGAAGATCTACAACCAGGAAGATTTACAAAGAGTCACGTACTGGTATTTTAAAAATAACTGTCATGGTTTGATAACAGAACCTTATCATTGTCACCCCAGAGATAGGTTTGTTTTGTTTTTTTCAAAAAAGAAATGCATGATTGCCTACAACTTCTTTGGAAACAGTACAATATTCTTTTAGAAAATGCATACCATTGTTTATTGCCCACTGTCAGGTCCTGTGACAAGAATGGAGAAACACTTTGGCCCTCTGGACATGACTGGACTCCCAGCTCCTGCCAATGCAAGTCAGCATGGTCAATGGTCAATGATGATGGAAGTCATAGTCAAGCAAGATTTGGGGGGGGGTCCCAGGTCTGCCTACTCCTCCCAGATGGACTGAGGTTCTGTACCATTTCACACCTGTGAGGGAGGCAGGTTTTTGTACAGCCGTGTGTCACTGTGGTGGGTCTTCGGAGGAGGAACCCACTTGACTGTCACAGGTAAGTCACCAAATTTATCCTGAATCTTTCGGTACCCGATGCAATATTCTAATATTTCCATCATTTTTTGCCTTCTTTTCATTCTCTGGTTCTTGATTGACTTTTGGGCTTTTCGTATTATATCTACGCTGATTCTTTCATAGGGACTGTTGAATTGTTAAAAAACCAGGCAGTGGGTTAAAAAAATCCTATTCGCTGCATGTAGAAACAAAGATGGATCGGTTTAATCCTACTTCTCGGGTGGTGGGGTGCGTCAATGAAATGTCTCTATAAACTCTCTCAGTCTTTCCCACTGGGCGGAAATTATGTTCAAAAACTGAGTTTGAGTTGTGGCATCTCCTATACAACTGGATTACATCTGATGGGATTCGCTGATTCTGCTATTAGGAATTCTGACTGTGAATGAACAAAAATAGAGTAAAATAGATAGTTTATAAACTTGCAACAAGCTCTTTTTAAATATTCACTGAGAGTTTCCATCTAGATTTTACTTTAATGATAGAAACTATGCAATTGTTTTTCCAAAGTTGAACTGAGTTTTGTGAATGACACTTCATCAAAATGAAATGGTAGATCTTATTCTACTTTTTTTTTGGGGGGGGGTATTCTGAGAAATGCAATCCAAAATCCATAACAATAGCACTGTTGAAGTCTATGCAACTGCACTGGCAGAAGTAGACTATGAATTTTAGCCTTACGCAGTGACTTTAGCGAGATTGTAGGGAAAAGAACCACTTTATTGAGTGCATACAAGTGTATGCAAAACCAAAATATTAGACTCTGGGATGCCATAAATTTTAAAGACACCCAATTGTTCAAATGGTCATGTCACCCTCTAAGACATCTAGATGAAATCAGTCTTGAAGATGGAAATCAGGAGCCTATTATAACTATAAGAGAATACAGGTGCCTGGTTGCCACCATCCAAAGCCGATTTCACAGATGTATTAGTTTTTTCACATGTTGACTTGAATCCGCATGATCTAAGTGTTTGATCTCAGAGCTAATTCCTCTGGGGCATGCTGTTTTAAAGATCTGATATTCTAAAGTAGGCTGGGTATAGAAGGCATTGGGATCCAAGCATCCTTTCTGAGAAAGGTTCGCTGGAACTATTTTTGAGCTTCCACAATGTCACCACATTGAATTATTTTCAAAGAGGTTTCTCCAAGAGAAACTCTTCTTAGATTGCACCCAGAATTGTCCATCAGTTCATTACAAGGATGGGACAACCTGTGACTCCTCCAGATTTTTCTGGGCTGCAGCTTGCAATAACCCTGGCCATTAGCCGTGCTGGCCAAAACTACGGAGAGTTGAGTCCAACGACTCAAAACAGGTTCCCCCTGTTTTGATAGACTCAGGTTTTTAGGGAGAATGTCTTCTTCCAGAATATATTAGTGATTCCATGGCAGGAGTAAGTGGCAGAATCCAACCATTCCAATGCATTTACTGGAATCGAGTCAACATATATATATATATTTTAAAAATACATCTGTTTGGGAAAACCCTGCTATAACGTATAGTATTCTCTTACAATTCTGTGTGATACCAAAGCTAATTCCTCTAGGACATCCTATTTTAAAGATCTGATCTTCTAAGAAGGGCTGAGAATGCGGTCAGTGGCGATGAGATTATGATAACAGATTACTAATTCACAAGAGCTCAGCCCATCATCCCCAATTGTCCCTAGTTACCAGTGATAGGTATGGTTTTCTGATGTCTGTTCCTGGTCAATGTTTCCTGCATTTGTCCACATAATAATGTTGGGAGATGCCTTATTGAGCAGTTGGATGTGAAACCCGTGGCCCTCCAAACATTGTTGAGCTCCAGCTCCTATCAGCTGCAAAATGCTTAGTGATTATGGGAGTCATAGCCCAACCACATCTGAATAACCAGAGCTTTCACATCCCAGTATGAGAGTATTCAGTGTCCAATGATTCAGCTTCCTCCGCTGTAGAAGTTAGATTTATGGATGGGTGTATCTTGTGCCCATATAAGTACATTGGTCTTGGTTTATAGAAGTACAACAAAGTTGGCCGGGGGGGTGGTAAAAGTGAGAAAAATATGAGGAAAAACTGAAGAAACTGTGTCTGTTTAGCTGGGACAAGAAAAAGCTGAGCTGGGGGATAAAGAATGATATCTGAAGGTCTATCGCCCAGAAGAGGACAACAGCCTGTTCTCTGCTGCCCCAAAGGGCAGATCCAATTAAGTTTGCAGAAAGATAAGCTTCTAGTTGGTGAGAGAAGTTTAGCAACACCAACCAGTTATGTAGAGGGTTTCTGATTTGTTGACCATCATAAAGGGGATGATGATGTAATTACCTATAAAGATGGTGGGTCTTCAGGTGTAGGCTGGACAGAGTTCTGGTGAGATCACTCTAGCTCTGGATCTCCTGCAGCAAGCAGGATGTTGGACTAGGTAACCTGCAGGAGCCCTTCCATAATTCCCCATTCTCTATGGCTCTCCAACTCTATGATTCTATAGACTTACACTCCATGCAGTGCTCAGCTTGCCGCATTAACCCATTAAGCAACTATGGAAGCATATATTGAATCACCCACTGACTAGGCAGTGGAAGCTGGTCCATTTGGGTCAATAGGGTGCTACCCCATTAACCTCAATGTGCCCTCAGCCAGCGCTCACATGACTGCTTTCTTACTTGCAACCACTACGGGGGTGGCCCTGGCTGTCAGCTTTTCCTCCTTAGTCTCAGTGTTGCCCTTCTAGTACTCAGCAGGGAAGAGGATGGGGACAAAATTAGAATGAGTTGGCTTCACCTGTCACTGGTTCCAGCTCCACCTAACATTGGTCTCCCTTGCTTTCTGCTGCACCAATCCCAATGGGCATCACTGTAATGAAGGCAGGTTCTCAGCAGATATCTAAGCAGAAGAGTATATTTAAGCAACCCTTCTGCAAATTAAATTAATCCAGCAGGCAGATTGTCCAGCAATGTGCAATGGTGAGGAACAAGGGGAATGGCTTGGCCAGCAATGGGGTGTTCCAATGAGTGTTTGCCAATTCTTATTTCTGAGCTGCTGAGGGTAAGTTAGACTCAGTGTCATATATCAGTCCAAAAGGAAGAACAGGGTGTTTCTGAAACACACTAAGAGTGTCCGGCTCTGATTACAGCACAACCAGGACCTACACTCTGAGGACTGGGAGACAGCCTTCCCAAACTAGAAGACATGACTTCCAGAGGCGTTTGTTTTTTAAACAAGGAAATAGGATCCGATTGCAATTCCTTTATGAAATCAAATAAATTATGCAATCCCATATGTCTCTATTATATAATATTCCCCTGAGACACGACACTTAACCAGATTTCCCCTTGACTTCCAGGTCAGCCAACAGTACCTCCAACAGTGAACGTCTTCCCACCATCCCCAGAAGAATTGAAGAGCTCAGACAAAGCCACCGCGGTCTGTCTCATGGATGGCTTTTACCCAGGCGTTGTCCAAGTTACCTGGCAGGCTGATGGCACCCCCATCTCCTCTGGGGTGGAGACAACCACGCCCACCAAGCTGAATGACAAGTACGCGGCCAGCAGCTACCTCAGCATGAAAAAGTCCGACTGGGAGAGCTATGAGGCAGTCACCTGCAAAGTGACACATGAAGGGAAGACCGTTGAGAAGGTGGTGAGGAGATCGGACTGTGCCTAAAGGCTGGATGGGTCTGATGAGTTCCTCATGCCTCCAGAAGCTGAGAAGAAAGAGTCCTTTCATGTTCAAGGGGGCCAAGTTTATTCTCTGATTTCCTCTAATGCTACTTTGATCCATCAAGTCTGGTTTCCTTCCTATGTCGTTCCCCTCCCCACACCTCCTCCCTTCCTCTTCTCCCTGGAATCTCCTTTGTATGTTGGCTTATAATGATAGCAAATTAATAAAATGTCATACATTTCACCGGTGTGATTTCTTGACCCACTCATTTATTCCATCTCCTTCAAACAGGTTGTGTTCATGGTTTCCTGTCCTATCACAGAAGGAAGTGTGCTGTTACTCAGCCAAAATGCACTCAGCTCAGGTCTGTGGCTGGTAGCAGCAGTGATAAAAGCAGTGTGATTTCATGGGAATGTAGGAAGCAGCCTTCTCCCAAGTCTGCCCATTGGTCCATCTAGGTGGGCATTTTCTACACTGGTGGGGTGTGGTTTTCCTGGAGATCAGGCAGGGTTTTCTCTTAGTCCCACCTACCAATTCAGCTCCTGGGAAATGGAAAAGGTGGATTTGGGATCAGGATGCATCCCAGAATCATTTCTGGGGGGTATTTCAAACATTCCCAAAAATCCCTTCCAATCTGACATGTTCTTTCTTCAACTCAGTGGAGCTCTTGTTGCATTCAGGATGTCGCCTAAAGGCTGAATGAATCCATTGTGGGCCTCATGCCTCCATCAGGGTCCTTTCTTCCTCCAGGGGACCAATCTGCCCTCTGATTTCTGCTAATGCTACTTTTATCCATTAAGTTTGGTTTCCTTCCTATGTCGTTCCCCTCCCCACACCTCCTCCCTTCCAATTCTCCCTTGAGCCCCCTCTGTCTGTTGGCTTCGAATGTCAGCACATTAATAAAATTTTGTACATTTCACTGACATCATTTCTTTACTAAGTGACTTTTCCACGTAAGCAAGTTGATTTACAGCAATAACAACCACACATTCCTACTTTGTGGGAAGAAACATTCCCTTACTCAGCCAAAATATTCCCTGTCTACTCCTTAGTATATTTGGAAGCTCAATTCCTACAGCATTGCTTTAGAAACAGGGAAAGAAATTGTACCAGGCCCTACTGCAGCTAAAGGATGGTCCAATGGAAGAGGAGCAAAGCCGTAGCTGATTAGCAGAGCACCTCCTTTGCATGCAAAAGGTTTCTGTTTCAATCCCCAACACTATCTCCCAGGAGAGCTGGGAATGTCCACAGTCTGAAACACTGGCGGTCAGTATGGACAATACTGAGACAGATACACCAATGGTTTGACTTGGTTGAAGGCAGCATCCTGTTTAAAAGGAGATTGGTTGGGTCCAGGTTTCATTCCAAGGAATTCCCTGACACTTGATTTCACACACACACACAACCAGGTGTGACCTGGAGGGGAGATGCAACACAGGTATGGCAGGGCTGTGGTGCCAAGCAGTTAGCCCCACCCCCTTGAGGTCATGTGACTCTCCCAGCCCCTGCCAAGAAGAGGTTGAACTCTTTGCAGCAAGGGGCCTTTTGTACCCATGCATGGAGGATACTGAGCAGTTGAGAACCCTGGTTGCTCATGGTTCTCCATGGTGCAAGTAGCCTCTGTGGGTACCTGAGAATCACCACTACAAGAAGTTGATGTCTTCATGAGAGGGAGCTGGAGAACCATAAGACCTCGGTGGATGGGGGGCCAAAGTCAAAAGTGGGTGGAGCAATAAATATACAGTAGACGAGTTTCTGCACATGGTCATGCATCCCTCTCTATCAAGAAAGAGTCGTTATCAGACTACAAGGTCCAGTCAGGCTAAAACGCTCCAGAATAGTGTGAAGCAAGGGTGATGTGGAGTGTGGCTTAGGGTGTGGTTGGAGAGGGGTAGTGGTATGGAAATATCCCAAGGGCCAGATGGAAAAACCTGGAGAGATGTATTTGGTCCCTGGGCCTGAGATTCCCTACCCCATAACACAGAGACATGAAAAGAGCCCTGCTGAATCATGTCCGTCTAATAGATAGCCAGATACATCTTGGAAGTCCACAATGAAAGCAACATATGGGGACTCTACATTTGTCAGAGACAGTGCACGGTCCTATATCACCCACAGGAAACATCAGTTCCCTGCCCATGTGAAATTAGCCTTCTTCCTACCCTCACATCCAGCCTAAATCTTCTGATGCAGGTCACTGGTCCCTCATGGGAGAGAGATGGGAAAGGGGGAACATAGACTGGTGCAAAGCAAACATTGATGCACACCATATCAACACCTGTGGGGAAATAGGTGTGGTCGCAGAACTTCAGGTTTGCTCTGAAGGGGGAATGCAGATCTCAGAGCAAATCTTTCTTCCTCCTAGCCACTGGTTCCTAACACAGATTCAAACATTGCAGTGAGAAATGGGGTATTAGAGCAAGGCCCATACTCACCGGAGCAATGGAATATTTCTGAAAAGTGCTGCTCCATAGGAGGAACATCACTTTCTTTAGGCAAGGGGTGGGTAACTTGCAGCCCTCCAGATGTTATTAAACTCCCATCATAATCTACAACTGGCTATGCTGGCTGGGGGCTGATGGGGGCTGGAGTCCAACAACAACACCCATAATGCAGCGCAAGTATGATCAAAATGCACATCTATATTGTTTAGAGAGAAAGGGTGGTGGTTCCATTGGAAAGACAGAATTCACTGAAACAAGGTGGGATGTTAATTTCTCTCTCCCAATTTATTCCTTAGTTCTAGCACCATTTCCAGGTACATTCTGTTTTAGTTGAAATTTAGCGGTGTAACCCTCCAGAACCAATTAATAAGGCATTTTTTAACACTGATTTCTCAACACCCCCACTGCAAGTTAAGGAAGTTAAAGGAACGGTCTAGTGCATTGGGTTACATTTATAAGAAACTGAGCATAGACAAAGCTTCACTGCCTACAAGTTCATATTTGGGACCTCTTATCTTGTAAGAAATGTATTCTACATCCACTAGCCAAGGTGAATCTTTGGTACCAGTTCTATGGTTCTCCTGCTGACAACAAGCTAAAGACCACATCTATAGTGCTACATCCTCTAAGGCAACGATTCTGGGTATCAGAAGAAATACCTGAAAGACTTCAGTGTGGTAGGATACCTCTGCAGTGCCACAAATCCAACTCAAGGGTGTAACGTTGGAAAATGTCAATCACTTCTCCTACATGGGCAGTTATCTTTCCACAAGGGCCGACACGGATGCCGAAATCCAACATCGCCTGAGCTCTGTGAGTGCAGCTTTCTCCTGATTGAAGTGCAGAGTATTTGAGGACCAGGACATTCACAGGGAAACCAAAAGGCTTGTTTACAAAGCTATTGTACTACCAACTTTACTGTATGCTTGTGAAACATGGACCACTTATAAACGCCATCTCCAACTTCTCGAAAGTTTCCATCAATGGTGTTTCTGGAAATTTTTTTACACATCCCTTGGGAAGACAGGCGAACTAATGCCAGTGTGCTTGAAGAAGCAAAGATCACCAGTGTCAAAGCAATGATTCCTCAACATCCACTTCGTTGGGCTGGTCATGTTGTGCAGATGCCTGATTATCGTCTTCCAAAGCAACTACTCTATTCTCAACTTAACAATGGAAAGCGTAATGCTGATGTTCAACAAAAGAGGTTCAAAGACTCTCTAGGCGAATCTAAAAAAATGTAGTATAAACACTGACAACTGGGAAACACTGGTCTGTGAGCACTCCAATTGGGGAGCAGCCTTTACCAAAAGTGTCATGGACTTTGAAGACGCTTGAACTCAGGACGAAAGGGAGAAATGTGCTAAGAGAAAGGCACGCTTGGAAAATCCCCACCATGATCAACTCCCACCTGGAAACCTATGTCCCCATTGTGGAAGAATGTGTGGATCCACAATTGGCCTCCACAGTCACTTATGGACTCGCTGTTAAAACCGTATTTATGGAAGACGATCTTACTCAGCTACAAGTGATCGCCAACGAAGAAGAAGAAGAAGATAGGATATACTATGAATGTTTGACATTATTATAAACAAAAAAATTCCTTCCAGTAGCACCTTAAAGACCAACTAAGTTAGTTCTTGGTATGAGCTTTCGTGTGCATGCACACTTCTTCAGATACCACTGAAGAAGTGTGCATGCACACGAAAGCTCATACCAAGAACTAACTTAGTTGGTCTTTAAGGTGCTACTGGAAGGAATTTTTTTGTTTTGACTCTGGCAGACCAACACGGCTACCTATCTGTAACTGACATTATTATGGATGACTAAAGCATCCGTCCTTTTCTGCTTCCAGCTAGGTAAGAATGATACATATTCAATATGTCATTAACTACAGCTTCTTTGGAAGCTGAAGGTATTCCACTTTGGAAAACCAAAAGTTGTTGTGCCATTGTCTGTTCTTCTGTCATGTGATATAGGTACTGATGTTCTATTCCAGGAAATAAGGTCAGGTTTTTGTACAGCAGTGTGTCACTGTGCTCATCTTTGGGATGAGGGACCCATCTGCTCATCTCTGGTAAGTCACTGAATTTTTCATGTTCCTTTCCTTTTCTTGGATAATATTTTAACATTTCCATCTTATTTTATCCTTTTCCACATATTAAACTAAGCTCTACTTAGAGCAGACCCATTGAAATTAATGAACCCAGCACCATTGATTTCAATGGGTCCACAGTAAATATGTATTGCATTGGATATAACAACCAATCATTCAATCAATCAATCCAGGCAAAGGATGGGAACAAAATTCAATTTTGTTTGCATTTTAATGAGAAACTACGCATTCCACACTTCTCAAACCAACATGAGAATTGAGGCACAATTACCCTTTCAAAATTTTCAAATTTGCAGATGCAGTCCTCCAACCAAATAATGTGTGCAAAAATATGTGTATTATGGGAAAGGTCCCCCAAAGGCATATTTTCATGATAGTAACATTAACAGATGCATCATATTAGGGAAAATAAGTTTCAAAAAAAATAAATGTGTTATTCAAACCTGATTACAAAAATGTGTGTATTGGGATAAATTCATGCTAAAATGCTGGTGAATTTTCAAGAGGAGTTTTTTTTATAATAATAAATTTTATAATAATAAAAAAACAGCCTCAAATTGCTGGGGAGAACTGAGCTGAAGATTGAAAACAATGAGAAACCCAAACTCACAAATTCTCCCATCCCTAATCCAGACTGAATCTTTGACATAACAATATAAATTTAACTGAAGCCAGACCAGAAC